TTGTTTCTTGATGTTCTTGAAGGCAATACCCCACTGTCTTGGATAATGAGGAATCAGATTGCACTTGATGCAGCAAGAGGCTTGGAATATATTCATGAACATACTAAAACTCATTATGTTCATAGAGATATCAAGACGAGCAATATTTTACTCGATGAGGCATTCAGGGCTAAGGTATGAGTCTGAACTCTGAACTTATGAAACACATTACATGTTATGATTCTTGATACAGGATAATTGAGTTGATCTTATCTTTGCACTGTGTCTAGATATCGGATTTTGGACTTGCGAAACTCGTTGAGAAAACTGGAGAGGGAGAAATTTCAGTTACTAAAGTTGTAGGTACATATGGTTATCTCGCACCAGAGTAAGCATTTGAAAACCTGAAGCTACATCGAGTTTTCATACACGAACACTTTAGTGAATTCTTATCTGGGATTTTTTTCTTCTGCAGATATCTAAGTGACGGTCTTGCCACCACGAAAAGCGATGTTTATGCCTTCGGTGTAGTTCTTTTTGAGATAATTTCTGGAAGAGAAGCCGTTATAAGAACAGAGGCAATGGGAACTAAGAATCCAGAAAGACGTCCATTGGCATCTATTGTAAGTTCTTGGAGTTTAGACACATTGAACCATTACACTTCTTTTATGCAAAATTCATCCTCAAAGTTCCTTTTTGGCTTTCTTTTACCATTGTAGATGTTAACAGCTCTTAAGAACTCACCAGACTCTATGAATATGTCTAGTTTGAAGGAGTTTGTTGACCCTAACATGATGGATTTATACCCGCACGATTGTTTATTCAAGGTAAACGAAGAAATGAGTGCATATTGCTTAGTAGTTGGGAAATTGTGGTTAAGTATATGAAAATTTTCATTGTGAATGAACCATTTGTGGACAGATTGCGACGTTGGCGAAGCAATGCGTTGATGATGATCCGATACTTAGACCAAACATGAAGCAAGTGGTTATATCGCTCTCGCAGATACTCTTGTCTTCCATTGAATGGGAAGCAACTCTTGCTGGAAGCAGCCAAGTCTTTAGTGGTCTTGTCCAAGGAAGATAAAAACAATGGAACCTTAAAAACCTTTTCTTTCTTCGTTTAGCATTATTCGCCATTGCCTAGAAGCTTTAGTTTTGTCTAGAGAAGATCAGTCAGAGTCTAGCTAAGTAGTTAGTTACAGAGACACATCTCTATATCTTGCTCGTTGCTCTATATGATTATTCTTTTGGAGAATCAATGAAGAGATGTATGAATTTACATATGTTACATAACAAACATTTATTGACTTACAATGATCATACATGGAACAAAACCATACATTTACACATAGCTGTGTCTATACAATGTTAATGGGTCAATCTTTTTTTTTTTTTTTAAAAAGGTCAATCTTCTTATGTAGATTGGTACGTTTAATTTAATTAGTTTGAATATGAATACAATATGTCAATGATATTTATCTCCTTG